CCCCTACTTTTTCCTTCCCCCCTCCCCCTCCCTCTCTTTCTGTCTCTCTTTGTCTTTCTTTGTCATTAAAGGGTATTTATAAAAAACCTACAGCTACCTCATACTTAATGGTAAAACTGAATTGCTTTCCCCCTGCAATTGGAAATAAGACAAGAATGTCTGCTCTTTGCTTCTAGTCAACATTGTTCTGGATGGTCTAGCCAGTAAATTACTAGTTCTCTTTTATTCCTAGTTTGTTGAGAATTTTTATCATGAATGGATGTTGGATTTTGTCAAAAACCTTTTCTGTTCCTGTTGAGATGGTCATGTGGAGTTTTTTGTTCTTATTTTAATAATAAGGTATATTACATGACCTGATTTTCTGATGTGAAACCAGTCTATATTCCAGGGATAAACCTCGTATAGTCAAGGTGTATAATCCTTTTTATATATTGCCGGATTAGGTTTATTGAAATTTTGTTGAGTATTTTTGCTTGTATATTCATAAGCGATATTGGTCTGTAGTTTTCTTGTAATGTCTTCTTTGGCATTGGTAATCAAGGTAATGATGGTCTCATGATGTGAGTTGGGAAGTGTTCCCTCTTATTTTTGGAAGAGTTTGTAAAATATCAGTATAATTTCTTCTTTAGATATTCGATAGAATTTACCAGCGAAGCCATTTAGGCTTGGAATTTTCTTTGTGGGAAGATTTTTAAAAATGATTCAACCTTTTTAGTTATATGGGTCTGTTCAGAATCTGTTTTTTCTTGAGTCAATTTTGGTAATTTGTATCTTTCTAGGAGTTTGTCCGTTTCATTCAAATTGTCTAATTTGTTGGCTTAAAGTTTTTTATAGTATTCTTTATAATCTTTCTAATTTCTGTGAGAGTTATTAGTGTTGTCTTCATTCCTGATTTTGGAAATTTGTGTGTTGTTGATTTTTTCTTGGTTGCTTTGCTAAAGGATTGTGAATTTTGTTGCTCTTAAGAAAGAGCCAACTTTTTGCTTTTTCATTGATTTCCATTCTAATCTGTTATTTTCTTTATTCTGCTCGAGTTTAGCTTGCTTTTCGTTTTATAAAGTTTCTTAAGGTGGAATGTTAGGTTGTTGATTTGAGTCATTCTTTTTGAACATAACTGTTCAAAACTATTAATTTCCCTCTAACAATGCCTTTAGTTGTACACTATAAATTTTGATGTTTTGTTTTCATTTTTATTCAGTCAAAATTTTTTAAAATTCTCTTGTAATTTCTTGTTTAACTCTTGGATTATTTCGTAGCATGTTAATCAATTTCCACATATTTCAGGATTCCCCAAATTTCTTTCTGTTCCTAATTCCTAATTTAACTCCATTGTGGGCATTGAACATACTTCATATGATTTCATTTCTTTTCATTTTATTGAGACTTGTTTTATGCATGTTTTTGTATAGCCTGTGACCTAAGAATGGATTTTAGATTATTAAAAGATTATTAAAGAAGAATATGTGGCCTGAAAAACCTAAAATATTTTCATTCCACTTGGTCATGGTATATAATGCTTTTTATATGTTTCTGGATTTGGTGAGCAGAAAACATTAGCCAACACCTGGCAGAGCATATGGTCTACTTTAGAGAATATTCCATATGCATCTGAAAAAATACATTCCAGTTTTGTAGGGAATCATAGGATCTGTGGGTTTCAATTAGGTCAAATTGGTTGGCTGATAGTGTTTTTTAAGTCCTCTTTCTTTCTAATTGTTTTGTCAGTTATTGAGAGTGGGAGATTAATGTCCTCAACTATTACCATTGAATTATTTCTTTCAGTTCTGTTGGTTTTTGCTTTGTGTACTTTGGGGATCTGTTATTAAAGTGTACAGTTTAGTAGCATTAAGCACATCCACACTGTTGTGCAACCATCACCACTATCCATTCCTAGAATTTTTTCATTATCTCAAACAGAGCTCTTGTACCCATTAAACTCCTGATTCTCCCTCCCTTTGGCAACTACCATTCTACATTTTGTTTCTGTGAATTTACCTATTCTAGTTCCTTCGTCTAAGTGGAATCATATAACATATTGTCCTTTTGTGTCTGGCTTATTTCACTTAGCATAATGTTTTCAAGGTCTGTGTTGTAATCTATATCAGAATGTCATTCCTTTTAAGGCGGAATAATATTTTATTGTGTGTATATACCACATTTAGTTTACCCAGGTATCAGTTGGTGGACATTTGGGTTGTTTCCACCTTTTCACTGCTCTGAATAATGCTGCTATGAACATTGGTGTACAGGTATCTGTTTGAGTCTCTGCTTTTTAATTCACTTGGTATCATATACCTAGTAGTAGAATCGCTGAATTTTATGGTATTTCTGTTTAACTTTTTGAGGAACTGTCAAACTGTTTTCCATAGTACTGCACCATTTACATTTACACCAGCTGTGCATTAGGGTTCTAATTTCTCCACATTCTTGCCAATACTTTTTAAAAATAATAGCCATCCTAATGGGTGTGAAGAGGTATTGCTTTGTGGTTTAAAAACTACTTTGTTTTGAAACCCTCCTTAGTTGTCACAAGTTTAGAAAAAGTAAGGTACTGCCACTTCATACAATTCTTAAAAGAATGGTGTTTTTGTATGTTATATGTGTTCGTGGTAATACTGAAAGACTATATGTTACACTGTGTTTCCAGGAGCCCCACATTCCTAAGAACAGTTAAATTTCAGGCTCCCAATAGTCTTGTTAATATCTGAATAATGTCTTACTTTTCAAGGTCTAGCATTTATGTAGGAATTTTATCATACTAATTTGCTTGTAATTCATAGAATCTACCTTCATTTAGAGCAAAAGGTCTCCGAATATGAATTTCCGGATTTGAATTCCTGCATCTTTACTTATTTGCTTTACAGCTTAACAGAGTTGCCTTTTAAAATCTCCAAGCCTAAGTTTCCCCACTTATAAAATAAGTAGAGATAATATCTACACAGGGATTATTAGTATATTGATTGAATTAGATAATATATGTAATGATCTTAGTGTACAGTGTCGGGTAATACCCAATAAATTATATTATCCTTCTTCTGAAAATGTGGACTATGTTTACCCCACCATTCATTTTCCTTTTTTTTCCATGTGTCCCTCCCACCTGTTGTGCCCATTGTGAATTGTTGACTTGTACACAAATAAGAATTTGGCCAGTACAGATGGTTCTCAGCTTATAGAGGGGTTACATCCTGATATACACATCATAATTTGAAAATATCATTGTTATAAAAGTAATACACCTAACCTACCCAAACATCGTAGCTTAGCCTAGCCTGCTTTAAATGTGTTCGGAACACTTACTTTTAGCCTACAGTTGGGCAAAATCGTCTTGAACAGTGAATACACTATAGATTATTCGTTGTTTACTCTTGCAACCATGTGGCTGACTGGGATCTGTGGCTTGCTGCACTGCCCAGCATTGCAAGAGAATCGTACTGCATATCACTAGCCTAGGATGGTAAGATAAAAATTCAAAATTATACATATGATTTTTACTGAATACATATTGCTTTTGCACCATTGTAAAGTTGAAAAATCTTAATTCAAATGATCATAAATCAGAACTGTCTGTATTTTTACTCCATGTAAATCTTTTTCCATAGTCATTTCTAGCACTTAACATTTAAAATGTGTACCACCTTTTACTCAAAGATAATGCTTACTTAATTGTGATTTTTTTTTCTTAACAGACTTTATTTTTTAGGTCAATTTTAGGTTCACAGCAAATCTAAGCATAAAGTACAGAGTTCCTACAAGCATAGCCACCCCCCACTACCAGCATCCTGCACTGTCAGAAACATCATTATCACCAGAAATACATAGTTTACATTAGGGTTCATTCTTGCTGTTGTATATTCTGTGGGTTATAACAAATAAATAATGATATGTATCTACCAGTATAGTACCATACAGACTAGTTTCACTGCCCTAAAAATCCTCTGTGCTTTGCTTGTTCATCCCTTTTTACCCCTGGTAACCATTGATCTTTTTATTGTCTCCTTAATTTTGCCATTTCCAGAATGTCACATAATTGGAATCATACAGTATATAGCCTTTTCAGATTGGCTTCTTTTACTTACTAACTTACATTTAAGTTTCCTCCATATTTTTTCATGGCTTGATAGCTCCTTTTTTTTTAAACTCCTGAATAATATTCCATTGTCTGGATTTAATTATTCGTTCACCTACTTAGTTGCTTCCAAGTTTTGGCAATTGTAAACAAAGCTGCTATAAACATCCATGTGCAGTTTTTGTGTGGACATAAGTTTTCAGTTGCTTTTGGTAAATACTAAGGAGCACTTTTCCTGCATTATGTGCTAAGTGTAAGTTTAGTTTTTTAAGAAACCACCAAACTGTTTTCCAATGTGGCTATACCTTTTTGCATTCCCACCAGCAGTGAATGTGAGTTCCTATTGCTCCACATCCTCACCAGCATTTGATGTTGCCAGTGTTTTGGATTTTGGCCATTCTAGTGGATGTGTAGCAGTATCTCATTGCTATTTTGTTTTGCATTTCCCTGATGACACATGATGTGGTGCATCTTTTTAAATGTTTACTTGACATGTGAGTATCTTCAGCGAAGTGTCTGTTCATGACTTTGACCCACTTTTTAATTGGGTGGTTCATTTTCTTGTTGCGTTTTAAGAGTTCTTTGTATGTTTTGGATAACAGTCCTTTATCAGATAAGTCTTTTGCAGATCTTTTCTCCCAGTCTGTGACTTGTCTTCCCTTGACAGTGTCTTGCAGAACAGAAATCTTTCATTTCCTTTTCTTGTCTTACTGCCTTAGTTAGGACTTTCAGGAGTGATGAGAACATCCTTGCCTTGTTATGGATCTTAGCAGGAACGCTTCTAGTTTTTCATAAGTATGACGTTTGCTATAGTTTTTTTGTAAATGTTCTTTATCAAGTTGAAGAAGTTCCCCTCTATTCTAGTTTGCTGAGAGTCCCACTTAGTTTTTTAGTTTAGATTTTTGTTTAGAATAATTTTATAAATACTGGTATAGTTAAATCAGAATGCGGAAATGGATTTGTCATTGCTAATATAAACCTGGATTATATTTTTTATAGCAGACTAGAAAAACCATTTGAAATGTGATGTTGCCTATACTTGTATAATTTTTAAAATCATCATATTCAAGGCTTTTCAGTATTTCTTTTTTGGATACAGACTCAAAGCTAGGAAGGACAGTGAAATTTAAGTGAAATATCTGAAAATTTTCTTTTTTATATAGTGCTTGAGTTGGATTGAAAGGAAACATAAAAGAATCTGGAGTTTATGATAATCATCTATTAAACATTTTTTCTGTTTGATTTGTTCACAGATGTTCAGCCTGTTGCCTATGAAGAGCCTAAACATTGGTGTTCAATTGTTTACTATGAATTAAACAATCGTGTTGGAGAAGCTTTTCATGCATCTTCTACTAGTGTGTTAGTAGATGGATTCACAGACCCTTCCAATAACAAAAGTAGATTTTGCTTGGGGTTATTGTCAAATGTTAATCGTAATTCAACAATTGAAAACACTAGGCGACATATTGGAAAAGGTAATTTTGTCATATCTCTACATTGAGTTGAAGTCTGTTTTTGTTGTGCTTGCTTGTGTACCATGCATTGTTGTGAAAGATGCTAGAGCATATAAAGAAGCTTAAGCTGTGTTCTCTGCCCTCAAGTTGCAGATGTTGAAGTAAAGACCTAATCAATCCTCTTTTCCTTATCCTGCTTAGTTTTTCTTTATAGTAGTTAGCGTCTGAAATCATACTACTTCTATGTTTATTTTTTGAATATCTTTCTGAATGGAATATAAGCTTTTCAGAAATTTGCCTTATTAACAGCAGTATCTTTAGCAACTAGAACAGTGCCTGGCTCATAGTAAATATGCAACAAATATTTTAATAATTTGTAATTATATATTATATATATAATTATAATAATATATTTGTGGAGTATTTTGGGCTGAGATGGCTTCTAAGAATTTCGATTATGTTAGAGGAGCAGGGTTACAGGTAGGAAACCGAGTTTGAGTGACATATATCTTCAGTGGCTTCACTACCACCCCTCCCACCTTTTGATTCAGGTAACTAGGTTTTATTTATAATTCATCCTGCAAGACAGTTGCCATAACAAAGAATTTTTCACACTGCAGTGGAAGGTCAGAGTCTCGTGTATCAAGTGGTCAGGAAGGAAGTCTGCCCCAGGTAGAATGTATTGCCTGTCTCTTTAAGAAGTTTTGTTTTTACCGCTTGCTGCTTTTTGCTTCTTCGATTTGAGAAAATCTTAGTCCAAATTCAAAACAAAAGGTGCATAACTATAATTGTGTGCCATTTCTTATAGAAGAGATTCAGAAAAATACTGTGGCCAAAAATAAGTTGAAAGGAAAGTTCCCATTCTTTTTTTACTTTACTGCCAACTAGGTATTTTAGGTTAAATGCCTCACTTCTATGCATTGATTTTTCCACTATAGTAGAATAATTCAAGAGAAATCTACTTGGTGAATTCTTGAATTCTAGACTCAGTTTTCCCTTTTTTCCCCAGTATGTAGGTATAGGACTCTTCTGCAGATCATTTTCTTTGCTCAGAAAAAAATTTTTTTAATGTCACAGCCTGATACAAGTCTGTGACTAAAATGTGTGTAGAGGTATGTATGTATAAGGATGGTATTTTTAGCACTATTTGCATAGTGAAAAGTTGGGAACTTCAGCTTTAGCTGTGTATTTGAATCTTTAATATTGAAACTACATTCACACACTATGTGTATTTTTTAAATACCTAAACATTTTTTTTTAGGAAAGTAAAATAGATCTACCATTTAAAGGCACCTTCTGTGACTTGAAATTACATATGTGCCTTACGTTTGTTTGTTTGTTTGTTTGTTTTTTAATGCAGCTGTCCTCTCCATTAGCAAAAAGAGTGCAAAACCCTTTGCCAAATTACTATGATTGTTGATAGGAGCAAGCATTCCTTTGAAAAGACTCGTCATAAAGTGCTTTTTTGTTTTTTGGCTTTTTTTTTTTTGCAATTGCTTTCTTTCATAGAAATGATGAATTATTGTTGGAAAAGAGGGAAAAAACGCTAAGAATTGATAACCTAATATGAGGCTTGAGTCTTAGTTACTTGAGGACAATTTTAGTTTTAGGCAGACATCAGCCTCTTAATTATCTCTGGCAGCATAAGGCCATCTAGTGGTGCCTTCTATCTAAAGACTGGGGAGTTTGCTATAGATGAGTGAATATTCTTGGTTGCACCTCAGATACAGCCTTTTTGGTTTCATGCTGCTGCTTTGTTGACTCTTGTACCTGGTGTTTTTAAGGTGTTCATCTGTACTATGTTGGTGGAGAGGTGTATGCAGAGTGTCTCAGTGACAGCAGCATATTTGTACAGAGTAGGAACTGCAACTTTCATCATGGCTTTCATCCTACCACTGTCTGTAAGATTCCCAGCAGCTGCAGCCTCAAAATTTTTAACAATCAAGAGTTCGCGCAGCTTCTGGCTCAATCCGTCAACCATGGGTTTGAGGCAGTATATGAGCTCACCAAAATGTGCACCATTCGAATGAGTTTTGTCAAGGTGAGTGGGTTGTAATTTGTAGCTTGAGTCACTGTAAATATGTATATTGTGTGTCTTCAGGATATAATAAAAAAAAGTCTTTGTTAAATGAAAAGTGCTAATTACTTTTGACCTGATTTAATAGGTTTTTAAATGAAATTCTTGAATTTATGACTTTAACCATATGATAGTCTAAGATTTTATTTTATAATCCAGACATTATAAAACACATGATATTGATATTGATTTTGATATTTAATAGAGACTGAATTTATAAAGAATTTCAGTTTAATTTAATACTAAATTGCTAGAAAGCATTTGGTATTAAAAACTTTTTTAACTTCCTTAGCTTTATTTAATAATTATTAGATCGCATTAGAGTGATTTAAAGAATTCTTTAGAATACTAAAATTATTTTTCATGTATCTAAGTTCTATTAAGGATTCGAAAAGTTTTAAAGAACTTTTCAAATTATCATTTACTTTTCGCTAGATTTTATTGGCATTCCAAAGATGATAGTTTAGGAACAAAATTCGGAAAGAATTTTAGTGATATATTTAACTAGCCTGTACTGTATTGACTGTTCTTTTTGGATATAGCCAAAGAAGAGCAGCTGTCACATACTCTGTGGATTTTTTCGTTTGGCTTTCAGTCCCACAGTTCAGTGTTTCCTTGCTGCGTTGCTATAGGTCTGTTACATACATCAGTTTGATATTTCCCTACTTCTATAGAAACATGACTTTTGCATATTTAATCTTTTCTCCCTCAGCCCCTCCCCTGCAGTTGTCCTGGGCCAGGATTACTATAAGCAGTAAAGCAGAGAGTTTGATTATTACAGGCAAATAAAAATGAAAAAAAAAAGATAATCTTTGGAGTTTTAGGCTAAAGTGTTCCAGCTCAATTCATCTCAGTAATTTTTCATCTTAAGGAATAATTGATATGTGATTGCCACTTTAAGCACACTTGCATACCTTAATCAGGTTTGTAATGCATTTTCTGATATTTAAAAAAAAAACCTGAAAAAACTATTTTTGTAACAAAATCTGACGTGAACTTATATGACTACTTATATGATTTATTTATCCCATTAAATGAGAATGTATCTCATTGTAGAAATATTAATTTTTAAATTATGAGATATTATAATGTATTAACTTTCTAAAATTAAAAAAAAATTCTGAAACATATCTTGCTCTAGGGGTTTCTTCTATTAAGGGAATTATATGTTATTTGAAAAATTTATATATCTTTCCATAGTGCAGCTATTGTGTTGCTTTTACTCCATGATGCTAAGATTGTTTTTATGATTTTAAAGTACATTCTGCATGTCACTTATTAATCTTTGTTGGTATGTTAAAATTGGTTTTGATTGGTTGACAGTTTAAAGAGAGATTTGCTGTGATATATGTTCATTTTCATAGGGCTGGGGAGCAGAATATCACCGGCAGGATGTTACCAGCACCCCATGTTGGATTGAGATTCATCTTCACGGGCCTCTTCAGTGGTTAGATAAGGTCCTCACTCAGATGGGCTCTCCTCTGAACCCCATATCTTCTGTTTCATAGTGCAGAAGTATTCTTTTCAATTCTATTATTAGTGGACTTGTTTTAATTTTAGGGAAACTTTCAGTACAGATACTGTGAGCTTACATGGAAAACAGCTTATTTTTTTTTTCTACATAATTGTGACCAATACATTTGTATTTTGTGATGAATCTACATTTGTTTGTATTAATGTTCATGTGATTAACTCTCAAAAGTGTTGAGAAAGATGCAGAGTAATTATCGTGCCCCAGTTCAAAAGTTTGGCATTAATTTTAAACTGGAACACACTTTTGCCTTCTTGTTCCAACAATAAGGAAAAATTTGTTAAATTTTTTTGAAAAAGTAATACATTACATGATGAAAAATTATAATAGTATGGGAGGGTAAACAGTGAAAAGTCTTCCCTTTCACTCTTGATCCTCCAGAAGCTGTACTTTTACCAGTTTCTTTGTCCCACCAGCTTTAAAAAAGTATAATTCATTGTTCTATAAAAGCATATAGTAGGGGCTTAAAAGAAACTATAAAAAAATCTATTTGAAGGAACACTATGCACTGCTCTAACAAGTAGTGTTCAGTAAAAGCAGAGTGATAGTTTTATAGGTGACACCATAAAATTTACATTTAATACAGCTAAATGTTTTGTTGTATTGTGACTTCACTCAGTATATCTTTTGTAAAACATTTCCTTTTTTTAAAAAAAAAAAATATATATTGCCAACAACCGATTTTCAATATATGTCATTTACTTGGAATCTGTCATAAGTACTACTTTATAGCTAGTGACAGTGCATGCACGGCCTTGTTCAGCTATGTTTGCTGCTTTTGGCCAGTGTTGCAAGAACTCTAATTTTGAGATGCATTAATCTTTTATTTTGCACTTTGATGGGTGACAGTTTTTAATGTAACCTTTTGTGAAACACACTCAAGTGACTTAGATGCTCATCCATACTTCCTTGGTACCCTTTTGTATTAACAAACACTGCAGTTTATAGATTACAGTTGTAGGAAGTTATGCTTTTTCTAGCTTTTGTTGTATTTTCAACCTAGATTATAAGACTGTTATTCTGTAGCTCCAACCTAAGGTGCCTTTTTAATTCCAGTTTTATGGATGTTATTAATGTTGGGAAATCATGTACTTAAGCCCATTGCTCTTATTTGTTTTGCATCAGTCTCTCCATGCAAGGACCTGTGTACTGTAACCATAGGAGCCTCTTCAGTCTGGCCCCAAGGATGAGGCTACTAGCTTGATACTTAAATGAATCAGCAGTGGTTGTTGAGATAGCTGATTTTAAAACTTTCATGTATCAAAGAATACAGACTGTTCTTTCAGTTACCATGCTCTGTTGTTTTCCTTTTTTTTTTTTTTTTTTAGTACCTATATGAATGCTAGTCTCCCAGAACACAATTCTCAGAGAGGAAAGACATGAAAACTATAAAATATCCATTTAATCAATCATGCTTAAAGGCTGTGGGGTAAAAGACTCACCCTCTTTTTCTAGGGAGCAGTAAGATGGACTCATAATCATGGCATGAAAACAATGACCTAATTTACCTATCAGAAGAAGCTTATGTTCTGGTGCCTTTTGAAAGTATTTGGAGCCATGTCAGTCTTCTGTTTAAAATGTTAGTTTGGTTTGACTTTTTGCCTTGCCCTTTCTGCTTTTATGAGGAAGAAAATGCATTTTTTGTGGAAAAGAGAATGCAGTTCCTCTTGTTTTCTGTGACATTATTTATTGCTTTTACAAAGTGCAGCCAATGGATGGTTTTAGTTCTTTCAAATGAAGTGCCATATGTGTTTCAGCTCACAGGGTGGTAAGAGGATACTTTCTGATAGTCACCTGAGCCTTAAACATACGTTTTACATGACATGCATTCTCAATCTTCCAGAGTTGTGTCAACCACATGAAAGAGGATAAGAGGATATTATTTGCTTAGTGATAGAACAATTTTAATTTACATCATTGGTTTACTTAACCAGGCTTATGGCACAATCTTTGGAACAAATTTGTAGAAAAAATCACCCTGCTCGAATGACAGATACATGTAATCAACTTCAGTGGGCTTCAGCTGGTGGAAACTATCAAATTGTTTTATTGATGTTTTTGGTTGAGTTAATTAAAAATTATTTTTACTCATGTCATAGCCTTTAGGATTTTAAGTGATTGGTCTTTTCTGTGTTTTCTCTATGGAGTTGTGTCTCACGAATGACCATGCTGAAGCTATTAACTGTTAAGAGTTTCACAAAGCATTAGCCTGTTGTATTTCCTAAAAGTTGTTAACTCCACATCCCTGGCTTTTAAATGAAAACTTTATCTAGCTGCTTCTATGATTCCTGAAGATGCTGAATATCCATGGATGGGAAATAAAAATTGCCAGTAAGATTTTTTAAAGAGCAAGTGCAATTCTGACCAGTGAAAAGAATCCATACCTCTGAAAGAAACCATTTCAGAAAATTACAGTATTAAGTTTTTATTTAATTTCCAGAATGGTTTATAAAACATTAATACCAGTAAAATAATCATTTTATAGCATGTACAACATATTAATGTATGGCAGCTGAGAAAGACAGTCTGGGAATAATAAAATTATAACTAATTTGGTAAATGCAGAAGAATAGAATCAAAATCCCAGTAATGAATTAAAACAGCAAAAAGATATTGATTGGAAAAAAAGCAAGTTAAGAGGTGTATTTGACTAATATCTCTGTGTAACAGATATTGTGGTCTGATTGGTATTGCCTAGCTTAAGTTGTGGAATGTAAACTAGCAGGCGTATTATTGATCTGTGGAATGTAACTTTTTGTTTTTAGAGAAAATTTGAGGAAGACCAGTCAAAATGTCAAATATATACATCAGCATATAAACATTTTTCACATTTTATTGTTGTTATATAAGAAAACAATAGAATTGGCTGGGTTTCTGAGGAGAAATCCACAGTAAGATTACTAGATAGTTCAGTAAGCTACATCTAATAGTACAGAAAGAAGATGTAGCCATTTTATACTTTTTATACATTTGAGAGTAAGACATCCTTTTAGGATGTAAAATGATCAGTAAGTATTCAGATCTGAAATGTATTGTCAATACAAGAACTGGGGCTCACATTATAAAACCTTCAGTGCTACCTGGGGGTACCTGTGGGAAACGGTTCCCCTGTAATAGTGTTCTGCTGAAGAGAAAAGTTTATACAGAAAAAGAAACCCTACTAATAGCAGAGAGACTAAAAAGTTGGATAGTACCTGCTTAAATGCTGTGCTTCTATTATAGAGAGCATCTAATATACCAGTTTAGATCCATTTCTTTATACTTTTTCTAGTTATTTGTTTAATATTACTTTGGATCATTATAACTTTTCTACTTAAAATATATTAATACCTTTTATACTTCCTGAAGAAGGAAGAATCTATTGATAATTACTGAATTCAGCTCCCAGTGATGACTTAAATTTTGGACCTGTTAAGTTTAGGAGGTTCAGAGCCCGCCCTTGTCTTCTTAGTTAACTCCTCACTTAATCTCTCAGGTGAGAATATAAGTATGTTTTCCTTTTTATACCCATCAGCTAGATAAGCATTAATCATTTAAGATAGTAGATAGCCTGGTGGTTTTAGAAGTGTTTGGTGATTTTTATGGGAGTGAGTTTTCCTAAGCATTGGTTTATGGATGGTCTCCTCAGATCCTAACTAGGGCAGCTTTTCGGGGGAGGGGGGTGGTAATCTTCAGGCTTGATGCCTGTTTTTCCCAGAACAGCAGCATTTTTCTCGTTGGTACAGGTAGGATTTTGGGGAGGTTTTCTTCTCATAGAAGATGCATGTTTGGAAGTGGGCATCTTTTTGCATAAATAGTTCTACCTGCTGCACAGAAACTTGGACAGTTCTTTGGAATTCAGTGGATTGCAGTTTAGCATGTCCTGACTACAAGAGGTAACAGTCTTTATCAAGCCTTTGTTATGAACAAATCTTCTGAAATACAACTATGTTATAATTGAAGTATTACCTGAAAATTAGATGGTTTACAAAAACCACAGTGAGGGATTTTACATATCAATTTGTTTTTTAAAAAGTAAGACTTTATGCTGTAATATTTGCTGGTAGCAATTGCTGCAAAACCAGTGATGAGCTGTTTTGTTGAAAAAGATCCATACAGAGCAGGATTCTTCTGTCATTCATGGCAAAATGAAAACGGTTTGTATGGTTCTTGTCTAAATAATTCTGTTCTTAAAATTCTTAAAATCATCATACCATTGTCCTTTAAGGTTTTATTTGAAGATTCTCTTTTTAAAATGTTCAGGATTTTGTGTACAGGTAGATAACCGCCCCCACCCCCCGCCCAGTTATTAGGTAGTGCCTTGTTAATACTAGCTGTTGTTAGTTATAACCAAACTCCAGTGATGCCAAACAAACCCAAGTTCTTTGAAAAAGAAATCTTTTAGAGTCAGATTTTCCCTTCTAATACCATTGATTGCAGATGATGTTGCTTTGATTTATTCATAAAGTATTTTAATTATAGGGACTCTTGAAGATAATAGTTGGGCAAGTGGTTTTCTTCTTAACCTGGTTGGTTAAGGTTGCATTTTGAAAATCACTTATTTTAAAATTGGATAAGATTGTAATCGTGAAAACTGGATATTTGTACGTACCTACCCATGTTCTCTTAAAAAGATATTTCATGTGCAGATGATAAAGACCAAACCAATGGCTGCACTATAGTATAGGTCTGCTTATTTGTATTTGTTCTGCTTCTCTTTTTGTTGTAGCAAATGAAATTCTAGCAACATGCTTCAATTCTGTTATCTTTTTGATACTTATAAAAATGTATTAGGTTTTACTATATCATGCTTTTCAAAGCCATAACTCTTAAGAACTTCATTTTTGCATATTGTTTGCTAATACTTTATTTTAATAAACCTCAAAACCCACTTAATATGTGTGTGGATTTTTTCTTCTTTTTTAGGGGGAGGGGATTTGGTGCTCTGTTTTGACTTATTTCATTGAGTTATAAAAGGGACGACATTGTCAGCTGCTGTGACCAGCTGTGTTATCTGTATTTGTGCACTAGTGGTATAAAATGGGAACACCATGCCTTTCCACGCAGCATGAGGTTTGCTCAGGTTGATCAATATTTTTCCATTCTGTTTGTAGGAGAGTTGATGTGTTTTTCTTTGTTTAGTTTTGTTTTGTTTTGAAAAGGGATTTGGATCTAGAGTCTGGAATTTTTTAGTTTAACCATTAATTTCTCTTCTCTAGATCCATCTATAAATGAGAGGTCTTGACCTATATTGGAAAATACAATAGGTCTTAGCAGAGCTAGCTCTGGAGTCTACTTGCCTGCATTTGAATCCTGGGCCTCATAGCTTTCTTAACTCTGTGCCGTTAGGCAAGTTGTTTAACCTCTCTGTGCCTAATTTCCTGATCTGTAAAGTAAAAGTCATAGGATTAGGGGAAGATTAAATAATGTAATACAAATAAAGTCTGGCACATAAGAACTCATATTTTTATTATTATAACATTTATACTTTTTTGATTCAGAGGAATTATTTCTGATGCTGCTTCACTTTAGATCAACTTGTGATTATCCATTTTGTGAATTAGCTTTGTTCGTATTTTCTTAAATTATTTTTTTTAATCACAGTTTAATCATCTCTACCAAGTACATACTTTTGCCACCTCTGTGTTATATATACTAGAAATGCAAACTCATTCTCATTAGGAAGGGATGGTGAAAATCTGTGCCCCACTAGAAAAGTAGAAAAATTCAAACTGAATATTTTAACCCAAAAGAATAAATGTAAAAGCTCTTATTGTCTTTAGAGAAAACTTCATCAAATCAATTCATTTCTTAAAATCAGTTCCTTCTTATGCCTTTTTATTTCAAATATAAGGCATTTAGTAAGGTATTTAGCAGCGATTTCACTGACAGTTTTAGAAGAATATTTCAAAAACATAAAATCTGTTCTGGCAAAAGATCTCAGTGAAAGTGAGAGGTGTCAGCTCTCGCAGATTTAAGATAATTAGTTTTCAAATTGCTTTAGCCAAAACAGTTCAGGTGATGAGAGGAGAAACTGACATCTGCTTCAATTTTCTTTTAGACATGAGACTCAGTGGCTAAAGCTATTTCATATTCTTGCAGTTTTGATGCAGTCAGTATTTTATAAACATTTAAAGAAGGCTGTCAGCAGGCTGGGTAAGCTTATAAGGAAGTATTTTTTCAGAGCTCTGTAGTATATATCATTCTAAGAAGGAACCATTTTTAAAAAGTCTTTCCCCCATTTTAACATTTTAAATATTACTGTGTTTTTGGTTCTGTTGAATTTGTAAGTCTATCTTTAATAAACTGATTTTTGTGGGGAAAAAAAATCTTGAGTTCTTTTCATCTAAATCACTTTTTGTGGTTTTATTTCAAAGAAAGGGAAATGAGGCTATAGGGAAAATTGAAAGAGTTAGCAGCTTGCTTAACCATCTCCATATTAAAATATATTGGATGGAAGTGGAAGGCTGATGGTTAAGACTCTTTCATTATCCATATTCTGTCACGTGGATGTTTGTATAATTCCTGTGAGAGGTTTCCTGAGGCAGGTTTTTGAAGTCCGGGGATGGATTTTGAAAGCCTTCTTATACTTTGTCCCCTTTCTCCATCCAGTAAAAACCTCACCTGTTATTTCCTTTTAAATACTTATATCCGAGATAAATTCAGAGAATTTTAACAGTACAGAAAAAGTACAAACTAAAACCCTCCAAACAATAGCTAACTACTACACTTGTATGCGTGTACCCTTACCTGTTATGGTAGTCACTATATCTTTGGTCCTTTGACATTAGGCGAATACGGGTATAGCTAAAGCTCCCCTTTTGAAAGGGTTCTAAGAGAAATTGGTTTGGTTCTGAAGTGTTTCTTGACTTCTATATACCTGAGAGAACATTGTCCTCCCTTTTCTATCTCTTATTTTGTTGAATGGCAGACCTTTTCAAAATGTATAAACGTGAAGCCTACCTATCCAGATATTTTAATGAGATTACTGAAGTGACCAAAAACAACAACAAACCCTACTTGGGATTAATCTGGGAAGGCTTTCAGAAAGAAGGAAGAAAAGACCTTGGAAATTAAGGAGAGAGAAAAAAGTTTTTCATTCTTTATAGCATTGATCACCATCCAACTATATTTCTTCACTCTATTTATAGTACACTGTCTTATCTCATGGAATATAAGCTGTATGAGGCCAGACCTGTGTTTCCGCTGCGAGAACAGGTCTAGACATTTTGTAAGCACTCCAGTATTTGTTGAGTGAATGAGAGTATTGAAACGCGATTTTTTAAAACTAGAATTCAGCTTTTAAATTATATAATGAAACAGTTGAATGGATTCTAGCTCAGCGCTTTTTAACTAATCTCTTTATTACATGCCTCATAAGAGAAGAAAGGGGAAAACTCAACTAAGAAGAGAGAACAGTCATATTCTCTTTGAACGTTTAGACCTTTACTCCAAAGTTATGATTACTGGAATTATTGCTTAGAGAAACTAAAGAATAACAGTCATTAATATTTTCCCAGAGAAAGTCCAAAGGGGACAAGTTTCTCTGGATATATTTGACAAAAGGAAATAACCAAAAAAGTGTATTTTTTATTTTACAGCTTTACAGGGTGGCAGTGTTAAGAGCCCTATAGTTTGATTTTAGTGCCCTGGTTTAGATTCTCTAATATCATCCCCAACTGTTGTGAATGAGGGACAGGCCTTTGGGTGGGACTCCACAAGTAATGCCTTTGAGAGACAACGTAGCACCCTGTATTTGTCCTTCAGAATGAAAGATTACTTTTACTGAAGAGTGCATGTGGTTGTCAGGGGAGAAAAAGCACAGGGAGGCTTGACAGGCTGTGCCAACATTAGTTAGGATTAATGGTAAATGTTCCCTGATTACCTTTTCTTTACAGAAAATTCCGTGAATTTGTTTAGCCCAAGTTATTGACAGCGAAGAAGATGCAGATGATGAATGCAAGTACGAACTATTATGTATAAGTAGTAAGACTGCAAAGCTTTATCTCCCTACGAAAAGAACGGTGCTTTCCTTTTGTCTGTTTAATAAGCTGCTGGAAGTTTACCAATCAATACTCATTCTCCCTTTCCTTAATTAAAGAACACCTATGTCCAGTTGCATACCACACTTCCCAGCCTCCCTTTCAGCTTAGATATGGTCGTGTGACTAAGTTCCGACCAATTGGATTTGAGCAGAAATGATACATGCCATTTCGGCATACTGCTTCAAAGAGGAATGTCTTGCACCTTTCCGCTTCCCAATGGCTAGAATGCAAATATGATGGCAAGAGCTAGAGTAGCTACCTTGAAGTGGATGTGGAAGCCAAGGGATGAGGACGACAGCTCTGCTACTCCTGGAAGGTTAAGTGAACAAGAAACATGGAGGTGGGGAGTGTCCTTTGTTATAACTGTTCAGACTGTAACCTAATTAATACTTGCTCATTCACTTAGTCTCACCAAATCTTACTGAGTGCTTACTACAGGTCAAGCTTTGTGCTGGACAGCAGAGCTGTAGCGGGGTCATCTCTTGCCTCATGGAAAGTGATGCTATAACATATTAGAGATTTCAGTTCCTATCTAGTTAGCGTTATTTGATCAGTTTGGGAGCTTTGAGAAGGAAACTAAAAAATAGACTCTGCTTCTGCTTTTCTGAATGAATATTTTTCTGGTCCTGAGCAGTATTGTTGGTTCATTTGTTCAACTAATATTTGAGGGTGTATTCCATGTCAGGCTGAGGATAAACTGAACAAAACAAAAATTCATTCCCTCAAGGAGCATCATTCTGGTTATAGAGACATAAAACAAGCTAAGTGAAATATAGAGTATTGGTAAGTTCTAAAGAGAAAAAGTAAAGCAGGAAAGCGAGATTTAAATATCGGGTTAGGGTAGAGGCGGTTGAAGTTTTAGATCAGAAAGCCAGGGAAGGGCTCATTGAGAAGGAAATCTGATCCAAGTGCAGGAAATGGTGAGGAATTCGATATGTGAAGTAGTGAGTTAACTGATTCTTCATCAAGGCAGTTCAGAAGGCACATGAATGATACTGCAAAGATCTCAGCGTCCCTACAGGAAAAGAGTAATTCAAGCAGAAATGGCTAAAAGAACAAACTTTAAAATTTTATGTTCTTTAGCTTCTGCATAAGATAGAATAATAACTGAAGTGTTACATCGATGGAGATAAATGTCAGTTGCTAACAACTTGGTGGATTACCGCCTCCAGGAAACAGGCCACTTAAAGGGTCAATCAGTAAGGAAAGTTCAACTCAATATTTTATCTGATACAAGTTTAGTTTAAGGCAGAAAGTCAAAGGTGAGGTGTTTAGATGAAGATCCCACAGGCAAATTTATCTTAACCTCTAGCTTTGTCTTTCCGCTGTATTTCATTCAACAAATACTTCTTCGGTTCCTGTTTTTTTGTGTGTTTAGCACGATGCTAGGCATTGGGAAAGCAGCAGTGAACAAGGTGGATGTCATACATCTTACATGTTAGTAGGGGAGAGACAGCCTATGAATTACATGCTTAATATCTGTTATAAGGGAACCGTGGGCCATGAATGAATATAACTGATCTTATCTGAGAGCTCAGGCAAGTCTTTTTTGAGGAAGAGATACATAAGTTGAAGCCTGAAGGATGAGACGGCATTAGCCAGATGGCGAGACCACCAGCTTAGGCAGGGGGACGTGAGAGATTGAAAGGCCATCGTAACTAGAGCCTAGAGTACAGGAGGAGTTAAGGAGATGAGGCTGGAGAGGTTGGTGGGGGCACATAATGCTGGATCTTGTAAGCCAAGGTTTTGTTTTAAATTCTGAGAACAAGGAGAAACCACTGGAATGTAAACAGGCTGAAGGCAGATAATGGGATCTAATGTGTGCTTTGATTGGCGAGAGGCAAAAGTGGT